CCCAGGGGAACGGCCCCCCCTGTCACCCCCCCCCCCTTCTTTGTCCCAGCCCTGTCTGTAATCATTGTCATGTAGTTTGAAACTTCAATAAAAAAGATTGGTGCTTTTTGAGATCCCATTGCATCAGTTCATTCTTCAGGATTATAGCCAGTTATAAACATATACATTTTTATGTTACATAGTTACATAGTATTTGAGGTTAAATAAAGACACTGGTCCATCAAGTCCAACTTATGTGTGTCTGTATGTGATTGTGCATGTGTGTATATGGATCCCTGTGTGGTCTAATTTTGTAAGTACCTGTTTACATGTTTTATTGTTTTTACAGGGGCACACAGATGAACTGTGGGGATTGGCTACACACCCCACTCAGAATATCTTCATGACCACTGGACATGACAAGCAGTTGTGCATATGGAATGGTAGTAGTCACACACTAAGCTGGGCTTGCATTCTGGAGGTGAGATGATCATTAACGCATCATTAATCTGCACATAGACATTAGACTATGTTTGACTATGCAGGATGGATCTGACCACCATAGGCAAGCTCTCCTCAGAATGCTGCACTCTGCTCACACTTAAAGGAGAACTATGAGGTGAGTGAAAATCACTCATCTTCATAGTTCGAGCCGACGTGTGACAATTAAACTTTCACACGTCGGCTCAATAGATCGGGAAGTGAGCGAACACATACCGTCGCTTGCTCACTTCTTGATCATCTCCCTGCAGAGAGCCATGACTGTCAGTCACGGCTCTCTGCAGGGATTTCCCCCTCCCCGCTCCGATCCTCCAGCGCTGAGTAGAGGAACGGACGGGGGAGGGGGCGGGCAGAAGTTATAGTCTATCATGGGAGTGAATTTGAGCAGTGGCTACTTTACAACACACACAGGGACCATAGGGAACAAAAGTTGCCACCCTCCAGAAGGAAGGACGGTGTCAGCATTTTTTAAGATTTAACTCCTGAGTTTAGTGTCACTTTAACTTGACAGTAAATTGTGAGTTTATGACAAGATGGCTTTGTGAGCTTCCTCAGCCGTAATCTTTTGAAGAATAGTGTATCTCATGTGTACGATTGTGTGAAAGAAAACAATATTTTTGGTTTCTGGTACAAGCTGAAAGGATGAAGGTTTAGTTAAAAGGATGAATCTGATTGGTTGCTATAGTAGTTGGTAAGTCTAAACATACTTTATAAAATGAGGTACAATGTCTTTCACTATGAACCAAGGATGCACATAATAGCATATTATAAATCTCATTTTGCATATATCATTTAATTGTGTATTTTAGGATACTGGTTTGTGTGCAGATTTCCACCCTAATGGAAGAGAAGCTTGTGTGGGCCTGAGCACAGGAAAGTAAGACTGTCATTACATTTCAAATCCTTTCTAACAAATCTACTATACATCTTTCTTTGTTGTCATATTCTAATGAACCACTCCCCTGTAAAGTATCAAAAAACAGCTATAGAATTCCCAGGAACTAGGTAGTAACTACATCAAAGTATATGATCTTACATTTGGTGTATATCATCTTACAAGGGGCAGCTCTGACCTCCATTCAAGAGTGTATTTCTCTTTACTTCTATACCATCAACAGAATTTTTATTTTTTCCGCTCACAATTTTCAAATGTATGATGCATATGGTCGATATTGTTTAAAGAGACAGAATGGGTAAAAGTGAGAATATCCCAAATATGCTAAACATTTTAAAGAACCCTGTATAGATATAAAACTGTCCACTGCCTAGTTTGCTACCACCATGTTGTTGCCAGGCTCAACTGGCTTTTCAGTGAGCCTGAGACCTCTGTATAGGGAATCACAATGGAGAGTGGGGAGGAAACTGGTATCTGCAGTTTACTAGACTTCTCTAGGCTGGATTAACCCAGAAGCGCATAGCTCTGAGCATTTCCAGGTTCAGGACTGTTAACTACCAGTTGAAGCACCGGGTATGCAGGAGAATGGGAAAATCTTGAAAACAGGGACACAACAATAAAAACATGACAGAGGTTTCATTTTTCTCTGCTCTATCCAAAAAGAAAAAAGAAAAAAATGTTGGCTAGCATTTCACTTTGACTCCATAATCTGTGAGCCAATAGGATTTATTTTAAATATTTACAATTTTGAAAAAGGCAAAAAAAGAAAAAAATTGATATCTGCTGTAATAGACTTTCCACACTTATTACTCGTATCCCAAGGTTAAAGATCTTGATAAATTGTTCTTTTAAATCTGATTTCTTGGTATATTATAGCATTTTTGGATAAACAACACATACCACTCCATTACAATTTATTGTAGTGTGGTCTTACTTTCTGCTGCTGCAAAAACTTGATTTCTTACACTCTAGATAAACCTTGTGCCGCCCCTTCCTAGCATTAGTATCACACCAACAAGATTGGATGTCCTAGCCACAAAAGGCACACACCAAGGCTGTGGACAGAAAGACTAAAAGAGGCAGATTGCTGAGAACCTTACTGAGGACCTTACATTACTGAGAACTGACTAGGTCAGGGCAAATTGTCAACCCATTCTGCCAACAATTCTGTTTTTATCTGTACAAGTGGAGAGTGGGTGAACTGCAAGTACACATTAACACAATTTCAACAATAAAAGCTGGCAAACTTTGCCATGGCAGCAGAATGAGGTCCCAGCCAGATTGCACTGGCAAGCAGTGCAGCAGTTTGGAATCTTTTATTATACAAGGAAATGTACTACTTACAATTAGCAATGCCATGTGTGTGCTGTCCCTGGCAGCCCTGCTACCCTAGGCATGGCCTATGTCGGCTTTTAAGAAATCCAACCCTGTTTCTTAGTGATATCACTGGGGTTTTTTTGGGGTTTTTTTAATTCTTTTTTTACTTAATCAGTGTCATATAACATAGTAACAGTGGATACGGTGAGGTCACAGCATACACCGTCTCCGCAAAATAACAAACTGTTGCAAATCAGACATATTCAGCAAGACTTCTAAGATCAAACCAGTAAACGTGCATCTTATCTAAATATAGTAAAATCGTATTCAGCTATACTCCACAGAGTTCTATTTCACAATAAAAGAAAGTTCCGTATCTAAATATGGAGACGGAAAGTAACTGTGTCTTAGTGATATCACTGTTGTCTTTACAGGTGGCTGGTTTTGGACATGCACTCTCACAGTGTTATGTCTGTGCACTCTGATGGGAATGAACAGTTCTCTGTGGTCAGGTATTCACCAGGTGAGAACTAAGATGATAATAGTACCGTATGTGCCGCCGTATAAGGCGACTGGGCGTAATAGACGACCCCCTACTTTTTGTGTTAAAATATAGGTTTTGGGCTATATTCGTCGTATAAGACGAGTATAGCCCAAAATAATGTTTAAATGCACCCACTAACCTCCATGGCGGTATTCCCGAGTGTGGCTCGGGGTTAATTTTCAGTACCATAAGTGGTAACCCCGAGCCCCACTCGGGATTACAGTCTATTACCTTGTCCACGATCCCCGCAGCGTCCTCCATCTTCCGGGTTCCGTCCTTCAGCTACATACAGTATACCGCGCTGAGCCAATCACGGCAGGCTTTGCATTCATTAATACAGGCTTTGTATTGGCGCAGAGCGTGATTGGCTCACCTCGGTATACTGTATGTAGCCGAAGCTACATACATTATACCCGGCGTATAAGACGACCCCCGATTTTCGGGCAGTGTTTTTGGGTCTAAAAACCCGTCTTATACGCAGGCATATACGGTAATATGCAAGCTTTGATTTTTCCTTCAAATAATATTGTCATATTTACTCCTTATTGTAGTTACCACCTTGTACACATTACCAGCCTGATTTTTAATTATATTTTTTTCTTTTGCTTTATCTATTTTACTCCACAGATGGGAGTTACCTGGCTATTGGATCCCATGACAATGTCATCTACATATACAGCACAGGAAACAAAGACCGCAAGGGTGATTATTCAAGAGACAGCTCATTGGAAGAGAAAGATAGCTCTCAGGAGGAGGGAGAAAGCCTGAAAGGAGATGGGGATAACAGTGTGTCTGACAGGGTACAGCGGTACATGCGATATGGAAAATGCATGGTGAGGGATATTTAATGTATGTCAGTATTTTTTACATAATAAATAGATTCCTTTAATGCTCTATCAATTTATTTAACATTCCCTATATTGTGTATTCTAGATCTGCATTATTCACCCCGGCCATTATTCCTTATTCCCACAGAGCATCTCTGATACTATTCTTTCTTCTCGTAATCATAGGGTCATTCTAGCTTCATAACACATTTGGACTGGTCAAAGGATGGGAAATATATCATGTCAAACTCTGGTGACTATGAGATTCTGTACTGTAAGTATTTTTCATGGTGTATTTAATATTAATATACAGTATATTACATGTTAGCTGTAGGATTTAATGTGGATGAAATAAAATTCAATTATAAAGCCTCTTGTGACACCATAGTGGCAGGTGAACTGTAGGCAAAACCTTGGTTTCATGGTTCTTGCCAGCCTTTGGTTTTTGCAACCCGTGTCTGTTGTTTGGGGCTGGATTTGTGATCTGTTAGATGTGCACTCAGCTTTCTCTTAAGGTCCCCACACACCTTACGATAATCGCGGGAAATCCCGCGATCGTACGATTATCGTAAGGTGTGTGGAAGCCGTGCGACCTCTACTACTGTAAGGTCACACGACTTTAAACTTACGAACATGTTTCAAAACCCGCCGAGCATCGTATGATGTTCGGCGGGTGTGTAGCATGTTCGTGAGATAAAAGCCGGACGGGCCGGCGTAGCTTGTAATCATCGCAAGTACGATCTGCCTATGCAAGATAGGCAGATCGTACGTTTTTTAAGTACCTACATCCAGTGTTAACTGGGAGACACAAAAGAAACTATGTTTATATTAAAAATAAATAGATTTAACTATACATATATAAATATATATATATATATACATATATATATATATATACACACACATACATACACACACTGTATATATTACTGCGCAAATGATTTAGGCAGCTGTAAAGTCAGAATGCTTTCAGAAATAAAAGTGTTAATAGTTTATTTTTATCAATTAACAAAATGGAAAGTAAATGAACAGAAGAGAATTCCAAATCAAATCAATATTTGGTGTGACCACCCTTTGCCTTCAAAACAGCATCAATTCTTCTAGGTACACTTGCACACAGTTTTTGAAGGAACTCAGCAGTTAGGTTGTTCCAAACATCTTGGATAACTAACCGTGGATCTTCTGTGGATGTAGCCTGCCTCAAATCCTTCTGTCTCTTCATGTAATCTCAGACACACTCCATGATGTTGAGATCAGGGCTCTGTGGGGGCGAAAACATCACTTTCAGGATTCCTTTGATGGTATGGCATGATGGATAAATATATTTTTGTATTTCTCAGCATTGAGGACACCGTCGATCCTGACCAAATCTCCAACTTCATTTGTGCAAGTGTAAGAATTGATGCTGAAAGGGTGGTCACACCAAATATTGATTTGATTTAGATATTTCTTCTGTTCACTTATGCAAATTGATAAAAATTTCCACACCTGCCTAAAATTTTTGCACAGTACTGTATATATGGCTGGATTGCTGGTTATTTTCTATCATCATGATGTATTGATGAAATTAGGGTGACTGCAAACAGCTACAAGCATTGCAATAGATTTAAGCATCGTATGAGACAATGCACGTCTGTGTAGTCATGTGCAGTACAATATTAAGTGGTAGGACTTCTGCACACAGGTGTGGGATTTCCTTTATCCACGGGCTGGCCTGTAGATGTGGGAATAAAGGTAATGGCTGCAGGTCACGTTTGCTGTTGTGGAGTGGGGTAGGAGAGCAAGAAGCTACGAAGGGGGAACATTAGCAAAAAAAAGAGCGTTGTTACCCAGAAATATAAAGTGCTTTTTTATTGCATAATGTCCAATTCCCAATTTAAAAAGAACAGAACAAAGTGTATATCAGAATTGTTAGCATTTCTATGCTAGAAATGTTAAAATGTTCTCTTTTTCTATCTTATTCTAATGATAGGGGATATTGCTGGTGGCTGTAAGCTTCTCCGGAACAGATTTGAGAGCAGAGACCGTGAGTGGGCAACTTACACTTGTGTCCTGGGTTACCATGTTTTTGGTAAGTAATTTCTTCTTTGACAATGGATGTCTGGTTTTAATATGTATTGTTCTTGCACATCAATATATACAATGACCCTGCACTCTATAATCAGAGTGTTTGGGGTGTGTTTTCCTGGCTCCTGAAATGTGAACAGATGACTGCTTTGAGGCTGCCAATTCTTTCCTTATATATAAAAAAAAATGAGCAGATTGTACATCTACTTATACTAGTTTGTAAAAGGGGATTCATCAGTTCTTCTTTAGGGTAAAGCTTATTTGCTGATTTGCTCAGTGAAATTTAAATTCATCCTGCAAGATAGGTCCAGTGATGATTCCACTGATACAGGGCAAAATGATAGTGTGGGAAGTATGTCAGTTGCTGGCCTCTTTCCCACTGTAAGTGATCTTCAGGGAAACTTAGATATTATGAACAAACCCACCTTGGCACGATGGCTCTGTGGTTGGCAACACTGGGGTCCTTGGTTCAAACCTGAAAACTATCTGCATGAAGTTTGCATGTTTTCCCTGTGCTTGTGTGGGTTATCCCTGAGCAAGGGAAACAACCATGGATTACAGTAAGGCACACATTACAGTATTGTTTTATGTTAAAAAATCTGAGGGTTTATTGTCACTTTAATGCTGACAATTTACACATCACTTAACATTCATGTCAGTCCTTGCCCTCAAATAGCCTATAATACAAGGATACTAATACACATGCTTACATACACACACTCGATCCAATTTAGACAGGTGCCAATTAACCTACCGTCATGTTTTTTTGGAGTGTGGGAGGAAACCAGAGTACTCAGGGATAACCCACACATGGATTTAATGTCACTTTAAATAAATGCCTGTAAAAGAAAAATAAATATGCTACCCCTACGTTAGATGTTACTGACAGCAACTTGAGAACAAGTTCAGTTAACCTGAAAACCAAAATTGTCTTGAGAGTTCCAGGAGACATTTTGGGAGGACATTGTCATGACTGGAAGTTAGCACTGTAAATAAAAAGACAGAAAGGAAAAAAAAACAGCAATAAAGGCCACTGAGAAATCACAATCTTTATTGCAACATATTTATGGAAATTGCAAAACAACGGACATTTTAAGATATACTTACAAACATGAATTAGTTCTAATAGCAAACAGCAGCCTCCCCTGGATGGAAGAATGTACTTACCACCCAAAGTATCAGACCCGGACCTGTGCACACAGAGGTAACACCTGGTGGTAGAATACACTAAAATCTACTATATATGTGCTGACAGGAGCTGCATGCTTCTCGGCTGGATGCAAGCAGTGTAGAAAGATGGAATATTACATTTTTAATAATACAGGGTATGCTCGGACAATTTAATAGTGGTGAAGTTGGTATACACCTAATGCTTTGTGCCTCATACGTATATCTGGATACAAAATAATGTACGTGATAATTTGTGTATAAAAAAAAGACAGAACATTTTCTTTGTCTAATAGGTGTATGGCCGGAGGGGTCTGATGGGACAGATATCAATGCACTTGCTCGCTCTCGAGATATGACCATGATCTCTGTTGCTGATGATTTCTGTAAGGTTCACCTCTTCCGATATCCATGCAATAAACCAAAGGTAAAATGCCCAAACTGTCAGTGTTTTAGAGATGATTTTGCTAATAGTCTTACACATGACAGTGTCTTGTAGTGATAACATGAATAAAGTGCACAAACAACAAGGGGGTGATGGCACGTTAGTGGTAGTATTGGTGGTGGGGATTGCAGTGATGCTGAGGAGCGGTCAGCTGTAGCTCCAGATGCTGGCAGAAGTCCTTCCAACCAGCTGCAGAGGTCAGGTTAGGGGGTGGTGGTGTGGGCTAGCAATCCGGAGACTACAGACTAATGACGGAGTGACAGCAGCCGTATCTGTATGCAGCAGTCTGCATGTAATTGTATCACATACAATTACATACAGACTGCCACTTACAGATGAGGCCGCAGCCACACGGTCATTAACGTGCTGATTACAGATGCGGCCGGAGCTAAATGGGACATTCCTGCTGCAGGAATCCCAAATCACATAGTGTGAATGTACCCTAAAATCAGCAGGCTGATGAAGTCCAGGATCCTACACCATATCAGGTGGTGCTCCTTCCCACAGGCTTTTAAGTAGAACATTTTGCATTCTGGCCTATAGCATCCAGTACCCTGGCAATCTGCACCCTGACATGGCATCTCCCTGTCACCCAAACACCCTAGACAGTGCACCTTTTGCCAGGGACCTACGGTCAGGGGAGGCAGGTGAGGCAGAGTCTCATCTTGTATTATGGAGGAAAAAGCTGTCAGCTTCAGGTCTGAAGCTGACAGCTTTTTCTCCATTCAGAGCAGCTTGTAAAAGGTTACACAGCAGGGAAAGCCTCCCCACTGTGTAACCTGGCATGGATGGAGCACTGCCTGCTAATTACAGGCAATGCTTCATCCAGCTTTTGAAAGCTAAGTTAGGTTACACAGCAGCGGGCTTCCCCACTGCGTGTGTAACCTAACATAGTGAGCCAAGAGCTGCAACAGCCTCTACTTGCTGTTAGATGCTTGAGCTATGTGGATGGTTTGGACCAATGGCAAAGCACCATTGCTCCAAGTTGTACAATCAAAAAGAAGAAGCAGAAAAAAAAAACACTGAGCTCGATGACCAGTGGTGAGCAAGTGAGCGACAGGGAGGCTCCTCCCTGTCTCCCTTCTCCACACAGCCTGGTGACCGAGTTGGGGGCAGGCCAGGGAGGAGGCAGGCTAGGGGTGAGGCGGAGGTGAGCTGGGGCAGGGCAGGGCGTGCAGGGGGAAATGCTTTATCTAGCGAGGACCCCACTGCACGTCACTGCCTTTTGCCACCTAGTATTCCCTCAACATGCCACCCAGCTACTCACCCTGTCCCTGTAAACCCCTTGTCACTTTTCCTTTGTTACCTTTGCAGAGACATGCAGAGAGGAGGTGAGGCTGCTCTTGGAGTTTCAGGGCACTCTGCCCACTTCCTCCTTTTTTTGTGTGACATCACCTCCACCCCAGTGCAGCCAGTATTTACATGTCTCCAGATTCTCTTTGAGTCACAGATCATCTGCTGCTGTGAAAACTGTGTACATTGTGTGTTTTCCCAGGGTAAAGGGGTAGGAGATGCACACTACTGGGCTAGGAGAGGAAGGGAGAAGCCGGACATTAAGATGTTATTATAAACCCACCCACCACCTCCATTACCCTTTCAGTGTGGTAGCTATCTTTATGAAGTTCAATATTTAAATTTCTTTTATGACCACTGAGGGACCCAGGAATTAAAATACTGTCAGGTTTCTACTGCTGCCTATAGGAGAATTGGACACTAGTAAACAACAAAACGCATTTTTTTGCTAGTGTTTTAGGAGGTTGGTCGTTTTCTCTTCAGCTCTACTAAGAAAAGTCTAAGCAATATTTGCTTACACATTTTTCTTCAGTCTTTTTTCTTGGATTCTTCTTCCACCTTCTTCATTCAACATTCCTCACCACATTACTGTTCAAGCTTATAGCTACATAGCAGTTATCTGAGTTTGGAGTGCTTGTAGCTGGATTGAATTTGCAGGGCTAGCCTGAAATGTGACCTTTGGGCACTGGGCTCTGCATTGTGGCACTTTCCAGATGCAGAGCTGTGAGGCTGCCTTAGCACTTCACCCTGTCTCTAAAGACACACTCTGTTGAGTAGGGCCATTCTTGCTAATGCATTGAGAGAGACTTTGCTGTTGTACCATTAGGTGGCTTTCAAATTTTCTGCTACTGGTTTTACCACAGAAGGGGTTAATGTTGAGGGACTAACACTGATGTCATCTACTGGGTAGAATATTGTGCTCCATGATCTCTTTCCTGCCATTCAGCATAGAGGAAGCACCATCCCGCTGCTCTCTTGCTTTACAAGCATTATGTGTAACACTAGTGTTTGACTGGTTCCTAATTCCCATGCAGTTGGAATCCCTCTTCAAATACAGGTGAAACTCGAATAATTAGAATATCGTGCAAAAGTAATTGCAGTAAGTGCTGCAAAAGGGGCCCAAACCAAGTACTGAGTACATATGCATGCTTGTACTTTTCAGAGGTTCGATATTGTTCTATGTACAATCCTTGTTTTATTGATTGCATGTAATAATCTACTTTTTTGAGGTTGTGGATTTGCGGTTCTTGGGGTTTTCATGAGCTGTAAGCCATAATCATCACAATTATGACAAATCACGGCTTGAATTATCTTGCTTTGCATGTAATGAGTCTATCTCATATATTAGTTTCACCTTTTAAGTTGCATTAGTGAAATAAATGAACTTTGCACGATATTCTAATTATTCGAGTTTCACCTGTACCAGTTTGATCTTGTAGGTTCTGCCCTCTTCCTTGTGTTAAAAGAGACCTTTATCTGCCAAACTGTGGCAGAATGGGTTAGATCCCCCAGAAAGGATCTTTCCACCACCTTGGTAGATGCCTTTTTATTTGAGTGTGTGGATCACAGTTCTGAAGCTCTAAAGTTCAGTTGTGATTGCTTGTAATAAACATGCAGACTTGGTCCCACATGGGTCTGATGTCCATGCAGATGGTAGAGCACTGTGTTTAAGGTGCTGAGATGCTGATGCCATTTCCTGACTTGCTTGACCCCTGAGGGAAGTAATTTATTTATTCTTACGCTTGATAATGTCATCAGGAATGCCACTGTAGGCCCGAGTGTACTCATGCCTCAACATAGGAAGTCTAGGAAGAGATCAGCTAAATCCCATCCTTCTTTCAACTTCTGCAGTAGGTGCACCCATTCCCTCAAAGCCTGACCCTCAGCCACCCCATAGGGCTCAAAGTTAGACAGCAGCTAAGCCCCCTGATAAGCCTTCTGCCTACAAGTGGAGAGCTGATAGTAAACCCTGAAAGGTCCTTGGGTAATTTGTCTCTCTGGCATTCAGGTGCAGAAGATGCCCCTTTAGGCTCCCAGGTTAATCCATTGCCCTTGGCACCCCCTTCAGCTGCTCCTTCCCTATCCCACTGTGCTACTGCACACATTAATGCAACTTTCTCAGTCTCTAGGTCAACAGAGATTAGCTCTGACTGTTCCCTAGATCTTCAGTGTTGCTCGCACACAACTTCACTAGCTTTTTTTGTTCAACCTAGTGCTTTTTTCCTGGCATCATCACTGTGGGACACCCAAACTACCTCCTGCAAAGAGATTGTAATTGTAATCATCACCTTATATAGAGCAGAAGATCTTGAAAATCCAGCTGGATCAGATTTTACGAGGTTCCAGTGTTGTTGACTTTAGGTCACCTGTGGACGAGGCTTTTCAACCTAAGTTGCTCGTTGTGACGGTCTAAAGCCTGTATACCCTCAGACATGTTTTTAGGCAGTCCTCCTCTTTGGCGGGAGCATTGGGGGGGCCCCTCCTGTCAGGGTTTTCTGCCCCCTCCTACTTTTTCCCATCCTTCTCCCTTGTTGTGGGTCTGGTTTCTGAGGAGTCTTATGGGTGTGTTGCAATGGACCAGGTAGTTTCTGGTGTGATTTCTCTTCAGGTGACCCTAATAGTCTCTTCTCCCTATATCTGGGGGCTTCACTGATAGAAGAGCCACCATCCCCGGGGTTACTTATCTGGCTCTTCAGCATAGGTTGTCCCTTCTACATCAGTGTTTTTTGCCTTAGTTTTGGAGTTCATTGGATGCCATCTAGGTGCTGCCGTGCCTTCACCAATGAGATGGAAAGGGGGTCCTTCCTGCGGCAGGGAAGATGGTCTGAACCCTGTGCTGAATGATGCTGGGAGTCTCAACCTCGCTTGAAATATTTACATTAAGGCCATTGCCCTGGAAACCAGCTCTTCTTAACCGGTAGTCTCTGGACTGATAGGAGAGGTTCAAGCATTTTTGTGTGCCTCAAATTTGGAGTGTCAGGCAGAGTTCATTGCTGGTGAATGCTGTGTCTCCCTGAATTGGAAGCAGGCAGAACTCACTAGTCTCCTGCTGCAGGAATCCTCTGTCAGGGACAGAGTGTTTCTTGTTGCCTAAATGGGACCTGTACACTTAGAGTTAGGTTATTTTCCCTTGGCAATCCACAGCCTCTTGAGGGTGGTTCTTTGGATACCTTTCCTTGTTCTGCTGGGCTGGTTCATGGGGATCAGGAGCCTTCTTAGACCTTTAGTGTGAGGTCAGGGTTAGGCAGGGTGGTTCTTCATTGAGATTCCTCATAGTTAGGTGTCCCTTCTGTGTGGAGTTATTCCCCGGGATGGTGACCTTCTTAGGTCTTGTGCATCAAGTTGATTTTCCGTGTTCTCCCTCTGGGCATGTTGGCAGGTTTCTCTGTTGGTATGGGGCTTGACCTGATCTGCTTGAGATTTGGGTTTTGGTCTCTCAGACAGCTCTCTGGCTTCAGGCAGCCCAGAGTTATCTCATTGGGCTTGCTAGCTATTGTACCTGTGTCAACATCCTGACAACATGTGAATTCATGTGTCCCTGTGTAATTCCTGTGTAAAACCTAATAAATTGTACTTGTTTAAAATATAAATAAAAAAGACATGGAATAATGGAATACATAACACATTAGATTTCTAATGATGCAGACAAATCATATGCTTTGGAGATCAGTTCAAATTGTCAGTGATATTCTGTGCAATATATAACCTTAAAAATGCATTCAGGCACCCTAACTATTAGCAAAAATGTAGCTTATTTGTGTATCACTCAGCTGTAGATCCTCAAATCATCTCTGAATTGATGCTGGCACTGTCCTTCCTTCTGGAGGGAGGCTACTTTTGTTCCCCATAGTCCCTGTGTGTGTTGTAAAGTAGTCACCACTCCAAGCTCGCTCCCGTGATGGACTACAAGCTCATGTTTAGTTTACTATTATTTGAATTGAGATTGTAGTCCATCACAGTAGCGAGCTTGGAGCGGTGACTACTTTAAATCACACACAGGGACCAAAAGTAGCCACCCTCCAGAAGAACGCACAGTGTCTGCACCAATTCAGAAGATCTACAGCCAATTGATGAATAAGATACATTTTTGTTAATCGAGTACTTGAACGCACTTTTAAGATTTAATATCTGAGTTTAATGTCACTTTCATATATATATATATATATATATACCAACTGTATTGTTTTAACCTGCCTTTAAATCATATATGTATTATCATTGTTAATATAGCACATAACTGTGTAGATTGTTTGGGGATTGTATCATTTGTCATGTATTTTTCTCTGCTAGGCTCCAAGCCATGTGTATTCCGGACATGGGAGTCATGTAACCAACGTTCGCTTCAATCATGATGACACTTGCCTCATCTCATTGGGTGGAAAGGATGCAAGTATTTTTCAATGGAGAGTTGTGAGGGGAGCCAACCTGTCTCGCAGCCAGTCACTGTCCTCAGCCTCATCACTGGAAATTGCCTCTTGAGTTGGATTTTCAATCAGAGGACTTTTCTGTCAGATACCCCAGCTAACAAAGAGCCAGATCCCATTATACTCAACCAATATTTTGCCTTTTATGTTTTTCTCTATTGAGCTCCAGCTAACTGACATGCAACAAAAGATATCTGAGCCAGTCTTAAGTGAAGATGCAGCTTATTTCAATATTATTAGTATAGCTAACCTTTGCAGAAGAATATTCCCAGTAATAGCACGGTACAGAGAAATGTGAAGTTTGTCATAGTAAACTCAGCGCTGCCATGGACGGACCATTATGTTGAGTACAGTATGTTCTGTAACAGTGAAATGCTTGAAAGGTGCCAGATAATCCTTCCCAGAAATCTATCCAAAATGCTGAACTCCTCGCCAGGAATTGAACACCTCTAGACAAAAACTACTGAAAAAAGAGCCACATAAATATTGTAGCACAAAAAGTTCTGATACAGTACAAGCTAAGCTACTGTGACTATAAAACACACCATGCCTTGCTAATACAAACATTCAAAAGCACAATCATAAAAGTACTAAAACATGCACTATGCCTGACTTAATCTTATAGAAATCTGCTCTACTTTATGTGCACTGTATAGGCAGCAGCAATACTCTCCAAAGTACAAGACTTCTGATCACAAGCCATGTCTTGAAATTTCGCTTCTAGAACCAGAATTTAAAGTGAACTTGTTACTGCTCTCTTTGCTACTGACACTTACTTTCTCCTCCACCCTGTGCGGCTGCTGGAGCCCTGTGATATACTTGATAAGTCCAAACATGGGAATGCATGTGACTTTTTCTATTCCCTCTCTGAATGAGAACTGGCTGCTTAAGTGATAATTCACAAGTGTTGTCACATCAGAATAGGAGGTAGACTTTAGCCCTATGTAATCTCTTAGTGGCTATACACTGTATTCATTTCAGCCAGGTCTTGAGGATCAGCTGATCGAAGGAGCCAGTCGCAAAATCTTCGTCAGAACAGAGCCTGCAGCCAATGAGCTGTTTGGGTATTCTGACAGTGGCCGGCATCAGCTGTCAGGATACAAAAGACACAGCTGGGATTCCTCGATCAAGGTGCTCATAGCATTAATCGAGGAATCTGCTCTATTGTTTTCGTTCAACCCGCGGGCCGAGAATGGCCAGCTTTACTCACAACTTACACAGGACTTCTTGGGCTCTAGCAAGCGAATGGGGTGGTGGTGAAGTTCGCAATCAGCAATGGAAGGGGTGTGCCATCAAGCAAATCTGTTACTTTGGGCAAAGTAGAGGTTGCTTCAGAGCCAAAGCATGTCTCTAATAAAAGCCTAATAATTACTTATTTGAGATTTGTGCCTGCTGATTATAGCTGAGAGCTATATCTCTTATTTCCAAACCTGCCTTGTTGTGCTGTTATACTGCCTTGTATTGCACCCTATTGTTGATGTTCTTAAACTGCCTTTCAAAGCACTTTCTTCCATTGCCTAATGTATATAAAAGATATATGTTTAAAAATATCAGTGATTTTACATGGATTTTTATTAAATATATATTTGAAATAAAAGGCTGACATAATTTTACCTTTTGAATGTGTGACAAATTTATTTAAGAATACAGTAAAATCTTACAAAAGTAAGAAAACATAAAGAATGGAAAATTGTGTTGCTACCCTCTGTTGCCATCAGATGGTGGAACGGATTACTCTTGGAGTTTATTAATGATTTCTCTTAAAGGAGATATGGGTATGTATAATTTAACCCTTTCGTGACGGGAGACGTACATTGTACGTCCCGGCACTTTGTGCCTATATGACTGGCCACGTACACTGTACGTGACGAGTTATATCAGGCTTTGTAATGCTGGTAACAGCTGATTCTCAGCGGTTACCAGTCATTAATGAATGCCTCAGTATTGAGGCATTCATTAATGAAATAATTAAGCTTTTTGTAAAAGCGTCTTCCTTTCAGTAATGAAAGAATGAAGCCGTTACATGCAAATACAGGACCGCAATTTGCGATCCTGTATTTGACAGCTGAAAATAGCAGAGAGGTAGCTGTGACTCACCTCTCTGCTATTTGTTTTGACAGCTGGAGAGCCCGATGTTTAGATACATTTCACTCAAAAGATACAATGTATATCTTTTGAGTGAAATGTATCAGTTCTGATCGTCTAGGCACGATCAAAGAGCTTTTAGTGAGATCTGAATCTGACTAAAGTCAGGATCAGTCTCTAAGGTTATTATTAGCTGTTCCTAAGTTTGGATCAGCCTAATAGCCAAAAATAAAATAAAAAAGTTAATTTATCAAGCTGTCATAGTGATTGCTTGATATAAACTGACAAGAAAAAAAAAAGTTTTTTTATTTTATTTTTATTTTTTTTACAAAGTGTAAAAAAATTAAAATAAAGTGTAAAACAAAATTAGGAAAATATAAATTATATATAAATATATTTTTTATACTATAATTAATATAAAAAAATTCTAAAAAAAAATAATAATAATCAAAACTTGTGAAAAAAGTGTTTTCTTCTAGTTTTTTTCCTCATTTTTTTTATTTTATTCAAACTAAGTGAGGGGTTAGGTACACATATGTGATATAATTATATAGCCCTATCTGTCCTCTAAAAAACAATATATAATATGTGTGGGTACATTTAGTAAGAAAGTATATTACTGCTGTGGAAGAATCACACAGCAAAAATGTAAAAAGTGTGTCAGTCATTTATGAACAGAAACTGAAAACTAGCTAAGTCATGAAGGGGTTAAGGAGTCAATCAGGTCCAACTAGGAGGAGGAGGCCCACTAACAGTAATTTCTTTCTAGTCCATTGAGGGACAAAGGAAGTTTCCTTCTTTCAGATTATACGGCTACCTACAGAAAATAGACACTGCCAAACAAAACAAAAAATTGTAGGCCAGCCCTGGATAATTCCTTCCACTTCTAACATGTTTTTTGCTAGTATAGTCAGGAGAGTGGACAGCTTCTCTTCTGCTCGACTTTTTTTTCCTGTTTGTTTAGATGTTTTTCTTTTTGCTATTAAAGTGATATTAAAGTCAAAAGGTTTTTAAGCTATTTCAAATGCTGATGAAATCACTTACAATGGATGCTGTTTTAAAGTCTTAGTTTCCTGCAGAAGCAGCTGCTCCCCTGAGCACTGGTTCTGACTTCCTGTTTTAGAGTGCCTCCTTCCTCAAGCAGAGTGCTATGTAGTCACCTTTGTGTGCTAGTAAGCTGTGTCTCCACAAACACACAAGCAAGAAAAAAGAAACCTTGCCACACTCCTTACTGGGATTCCCATAATATGAAGACGGGTGCTCGAAATGGATGCGGATGTAGACAATAGGAAGATGTCACCAGCACACCAAACGATGATAACAGCAATCAAGTGCTCATTTATTGACAAATGCTGTCTCTCACACAGGGTTCCCTTCATCAGGCTCAGAGATGAAGCCTGAGCCTGATGAAGGGCACCCTGTGTGGCCCTGAAAGCACTTGATAATGAGAGACAGCATTTGTCAATTATTGAGCACTTGATTGCTGTTATCATCGTTTGGTGTGCTGGTGTCATCTTCCTATTGTCCACAAACACACACTCACAGCAAATCAAGCTAATCCCCCTACCCCCGCTTCTCTCTTCTCCAAGCTAAAAGATGAACAGTTGCTGGAGTCTGCCCTGTCCTTTGTGATCTTGTACTGGACAGGAAGTTCAGGGAAGTGGAGTTTAGAGACTTGGAAGCAGCTGTTTAGAAACATGATGATTGTAAGTGTTTGGGCAAAAATGTAAAGCAATGCTTTGCTGGGCAATTAATATTTGTTTGATCTGAATTCATTATTCAAAAAAAGTTGGAGCGTTTAATACTAGCTTAACTGCTGCTAGTAGACTAATGCTGGATATTGGAAATCGTGACAGTCATTTTCCTCAGCAGAAGCAGTCTAAGGAACAGAGGGCAACATTTTCTCCCACTTTATCAGTTAAGAAATGCCCATGTCGCTTCTCCACTCAAGCACCCTCCACATCAAGGCCTTCCCTTCCTCAAAGCTTGGCTTCCAGTCTAGGGCAAGCTTTCCACTTTCCAGGGTGAGGGGATGTTTGAGATGTAAGCTATCCAAATGTCTGTAAAGGTTAACAGATGCTTGGCTACAGTAAGTGGTAACCCAGGGCTAAAAACTAGAGTTACATTCCATACCTTCTGCTTGGTTTCTCAGCAAATGTTGACAGAACACTCTTGGGTCTTCTGGACCAAAGTGTCATTGTCCCAGTTCCTGTGGCATTCCATTGGGTCTATCATTGCCTTCCTACACCAGGGGGACTTTCTGGCTTCCCCATTTTTCCAGCACATGAGCATTCCTACACTTTGTTGTGGGGACCCTGCACTACCAGTTCGTGGTCTTGCCCTATGTCGCTGGAACTGACTCATAATTTCTAATATCTGGATCTACTCCTGGACTCAGCTCAGGCCAGAGTGTTTCTTCAAATGGAGAAACTTCAAACTCTCCGATTTGCAATTCAAATTCACAAGTCCTGGAATTATCAGACTCCCTGTTTTTGCATTAGACTTTTGGGTCTGATGGTATCCTCATTCGAGACATTCCTATTTGCCTAGTCTCAACCCAGACCTCTACAAACGTAACATTCGTTTGGCAACAAGGACCAAGTTGACTTTGGCTTGGTGGCTCAGGAATCTGCTCTGGAGTCTAGAAAATTCTTATTCCTGTCTTCCTGAAGACCCTCACGATAGATACCAGCCTGGTTGGGCTGGGGAGGAGTCCTGTGTACCCTGTCGGTGCAAGGGCCTGGGTCATTGTCGAAGTCTCAGCTCCCAAACAACATCCTGGAACTTTGGATGCTTTGGCTGTATCTTCTGTGTTGCACCATCCTGCTGGAGAGGCATCCAATCCGGATTCTGTTGGGCAATAGCATTTTGGTGGTATACATCAACAATTAGGGAGAAGGTAAAAGTCTCTGTGGGACAAAATCCAAGTCTTCCTGCAGCTGGGTCTGAACCAGCTTTTTGCTCCCAACCCTATTATAGGTCAGGTTTCTGACCTTTTTTTCTTGTTTCAGACTCTGTTGACTCCTTGATTAAGAACTTTGTACAGGGAATCTTCCATATAGCTCCCCCTGTGCATTTCTTTGTGACTCCATGGGACTGAATCCGGTTCCCTTTGTACTTCAGAAACCACTGTTTGAACCCAATACAGATATTCCCCTCTACTCTGATGCATAGGGTTGCATAACTTGAATCCACCACTTCTGCAACGCAAGTGTCTCAACTGGCCGCCTTATCTTGAAAGGAACTTTTCTGGTTTTGCATAAGGACAAGGTGGCTTTGAGGCCCAGGACTTCCTTCTTGCCTAAAGTAGTTTCTGCATTTCATCTCAACTAGAACTATTTTTTTCCATCCCTCTGTCCCGCAAGGTTTACTTGATATTGGTTGGCCAGGCTTAATTTTGTTATTATTTATTGCTATTGGATTTACTATATTCACT